CATGTCAAATAGCTCAAATATGTGAAAATGTGAAAGTGGGTTTCCATGGGTCCTGAAGCCAGAAAATTAAGATTGAATTCTCATTTCAGAAGCTCTAAATTCTGTTTACTTGTATCTATAGGAGTAACAGGGTCATCATAATCCTTCTATCATCCTTTCAGATCACCACAAAAATTATGAAGAATGCTAGTTTAATAGGAATAACAAGAAATCTCAATGAGAAGCAATAAAGGACTTAAGATTTCAGAAATATGTGGTCTAAGTCAGCAGCAGTAGTGTCTTAAGCCTCAGTGGTTTAAATCATGCAGTAGCAGACAATGGTTGAAGGGCCAAGTCTACTTTAAAATAAACAATGGAAAGATTCATCTTAAAAGAGATGTCTTAAAGTTAGGTGCTTTAGAACTTTTCTATTACTGATCGACTTGGAAAGTTCATACAGTTTTCCTGACAGAAACAGAATAGTTTCTAAATTAAACATTTTCATTTATATACAAAGAATAATATGAAGTATAGAAAAGAGATAGTACTGCTTTTATTTCTCCAATTTGTTCTTTATTACTCTAATGATCAGGAAAATACAGAGAAAAAAGTTTTCCTTATAAGGGATCTTTTAAAAGACAAAAAGTAGGAATGACCTATCGCTTCCATTTCAGTTTTAAGAGTGCCCTACTTCATAGGTTCAAATATTAACTCTATTATTTAGCAACTATGTGCCTCAGGCTCTCTGCATGTTCTATTTTCTTGATAGTAAAAATGGGAATCTTAGTAAGAAGTTGTGAGGCTTATATGAAGAGGGCATATGAAAGCACAGGACATACATAATGTCCACCACATAATCCCATTAATCCCTTCAGCAAGTGTCTGTCTAGCATCTGCTAGAGGACAGTCCTAGTGGACAGTACTAAGGTTATAGCAGTGAGCAAAACTCAGATACCATCCTTGCTCACGCAGACGGTACAGTTTGGAGTGCCCCCATGAGTCATTCTCAACTTCCCACATCCCCTGACCATGCAGAACCTTTCACAACTCTGTTTCTTTATATACAGCATTGTCTCAGCCTAAACACATGCTCCTGTTCTTTGCTCTTAGGCATGACTGGCTGATCCAGTCTCTGTGCTGCTTGTGACTTTGCTTATACTTGTGCCATAGCACTTAACCATGTTCTCACCATTTCTCTGCTTTCTGACTGCCTCCCCCACTGGACGGCAAACTTATATCTCTAGTGCTTAACATGGTTGTGACACAAAGGACACACTCTTTGATAAATTAAAGAATGGATTAGTGGTACAAGTAGATAACAGTGTGTTATACAAATCTTGTTTTCTTTCTTTCCTCCCATTTCTCAGATGAATGTCCTGAAACCTGCACAGAACTCAAGAGCCCATAGTAATCTCCATATTTCCTATAGTATTTCTCTCTGTGTCACTTATTTCACATTTAAGCATGTACTGCTTTATAATTTTCCTTATTCCATATCACAAGTGAGTGCTTACCATCTATTAGGCATACACAGAGAGCTTTACATGAATTATCATATTGAATTCTCACAACAAACCTGGAGCACACATAATATTATAGCCATTTTACAAAAGAGGAAATTGAGACTGAGGATAGTTAAGGAGCTTGCCCAAGGTCCCAAGCTAGTAAGTAGCAGAGTTTGAGAACTGAACCAGGGTCTCCCTCCACAGTGAGCACCGGCATTTCCACCTAAAGTGGAGCTGCCACTTTTAGCAAGGCAAGTTGTGCCTGAAATCTCCTTCTGACACTGACAGTAGATTCAACATAATTCTCATAGATTTAAACCTAACAGCTCTTCTTACTGGTCCTGCTTGGTCTTTGGCTCTAAATTGAGGTTTTTGGTTGGTCTACAGCTCCTGACCTATTCATTTTCACTTGAATCTAATCCACAGTTCTTCATCCTTTGATCCCTATAGTCATTTCCTACCAGTCAAAAAGACATGTAGAGCTTTATTTTCTATAGTCATAAGACTATAGAATAAGGTTGTTCCACACTGTAATCCCAGCCCCCTTCTCTGTTCAATATTCTTCTCTAGCCTTGACCGACTATGATTCAGGGTGACTCAATCTATATACCCCACTACCACTGCAAAACTCTCTAGGTCAGCAAATTCTTAGGGGCTCCTACTTACCCCTGGCAGAAACAACAGAGGCTAGCTCACCAGGAACTGCTGCCCAATTTAACCCACTATGTATAGCTCTCCCCAGTGAGAAGGATGGATTTCTTGCAAAAAATACATTGCTTCATACTTTACCAGCTTTATCCAGGATCTAACATAGTATAAAGCTATAATTTATGGAAAGGAAAAAAAGAATAAATAAATGACTACACAAGTAAGTCAACAGATGACCTTATGTCCCTCTTGGGTTGGACAAAAACAAATTTTATTGATCATCTACATTAATATGCCAGGCCCTATGCTAGGCACAGGTTATCCCACAAAGAGCAAAACAGTTGTGATCTTTGCTCCCCTGGACTCCAGAGTCTGTTGGGGAAATAGATATTAATCAATTACAAACACACACTGATACCTCCCTCCTCTGAAGCAATGGCTGACATAGTGGTATAACGAAGTCACAAAATCAAATATATTTGAGGGCCAAACAAGTATTATAATAAAATGTATAAAAGAGAATAAGTAATAGATTAGTAAGCCCATAGCAAAACAGAAAGTATTAATACAAGTTTGAGCCAGAGGTGTACTATTCTTTGATGTTCTGATGGCTACACAAGGCTTATTTGTAGGGTGTATCCAGCCTGTTGTTTAGTTGTATGTTTGATACCCCAGAAAAGAATGCTTCCAAATGTGATTTTTGGCTTTAACTTTTAAACTAGCACATGCCTACTACAGAATTAAATGATAGGCTATTTTTTCCACAGAAGCCAAATCACAAGTAAGATTTCTGTAACTACTTCATATTCCTTTTTCCCTGTGTAATCTGAGGTCTCTGGTAGGGTTTTTATAAAGCAACTCTGTCTATTCAAGCTGAACCATTTTATTAACCTTGAAATATTCACTTAATATTCACTTGAAATATTCACTTAATAGGACAGAAAAAATTAACTGGACCAAAAGAAAAGGCTAACAGCTGCTGAACCACAATCAAAAAGTGCCAAATACACAAATATCCACAAACCAAGTAGAAGTGCATCATTTTTTCAGTCCCACCCATCAATTATTTTGTTGAAATTCGGTTAGGAAATTAGCAAATTTCTCTAGGTATTCTTTTGTTGTTGTTGTTGTTGTTAAACAGGATCTTGCTATGTTGCCCAGGCTGGAGTACAGTGTTATTCACAGGTACAATATAGCCTTGAATTCCTGGCCTCAAGCAATCCTCCCCCCCAGGCCTCCCAAGTAGCTGTGGGACTATAGGCATGCACCACCACGCCCAGCTTCTAGGTATTTTCATGACTAAATCAGAAGGTGTTGTGTTTTTATATTTTTAACAATCAGTTCCAAATTCTCTACAACTATTTGAACAAATTTTAAACATATTTAAAATTTCTGATTCCAGGTTTTTGTATGAGAAGATGTAAGAGTTTTTATAGTAACATATGTATGTAGTTTTCAGTGACAAAATCACATAGTGAGGTTTAAATTGCCAAATGTTTCAAAATGTCCTTTATAACACAAGTTTATTTCCAAACATAGTTGCTTTGTCATTCATTATTATAACATTAATTCTTCCTTAAAGGAACACATTAAACGTTCACTTAAAAAAATAAGTTGGCATGCAGCATCCTGTGACAGCAGACTTTTTAAACCACTCATCCATTTTATGAAGGTTAAATTAAAACCAGATAACTTGTAAATTCACTTTATCTAGCACATGCAAACTGCAAGAAAATTGTAATATTTTGGAAGTACATAGCTAAGTGTGGGCTGCACAGTTGTTCCACTCCAAGGTGTGTAAGTTCTATTCTTTCCTGAGGCCATTCTTATACCACGTGGAACAAGTGGCCATTAGCTAAGGACCTATGAGGCCTCAGTATCATGGCACAGCATATATTAGTATACCTTAACAGCCTTTTGTGTTTGTATTTAAAAAGATACAAATGGAACTTGAGACATTTTCCCCACACACCTATGAATCATATCGCATATCTCACTAATAATGGTAGAGACCATTAGTCTTAAAAAAAGTAAAAGTTTGGTTTTTTTATAAAAATCTGAATTTAACAGTGACTGAATATACTAGGCACTCTGAAAATATTTGTAGAAGGGAATGAGTCAAAGAAGGAAAGAAAGGAAGAAGGAATCACAGGGGATAAAAAGTTTTAAAAGTCAGAATAATCTGAGGAACAAAGCCTTGATTATCAAAAATCTCATTTATGAACAGAAATCTTTTTAAAAATTAAAATGTTACTATTATTTAAAAATGCATGACTTACAGTAGATTAAGAAATTGGGAGGTGAAACCTAAGAGGAGACTGTAGGATCAAGCCCAACACTTACTTATCTTTACTTATGTTCTAAAACCAGCTTTTTGGACATAATCAAAGGAATGTATAGCAGAACCAAGAGCTCCTGACACAATAAGGATTTGGGCAACAATCCACATCATTTAAATGTGAGGTGACATAGCACAGAAGACCTTTTAATTTCATTATAATTTTATTTAAAAATTATACTAGAGTAACTGTGTATGAGTATAACAATATAAATTGTACGCAATAAAAAAAGGTTAATTAAGAAGTCAGACAAGACTTAAAATATGAATATATTCTAATTTGGTAAATAGTTATTATAAAATCACTTAAAGGGAAAAATGAAAGCCAAGGTATAACATGTTCATAGATGACTACATGCACTCTTTACCACTATCTAGCATGTGTTCAAGATGAAAGGCAGAAGTATTGACAGCATAAGACCAATATATTTTTAAAAGAAGTTCAAAGCATTATGGCTTATGGGAACTATGAAAAACAGGATTTATTTAATATGTTGTCCCTTTAAAATAATACCAAAAGAGCTTCCTACCTTTGTGATAAGAATTCGGTATCTATCCAGCATTGCCTGGTTGTCATGGCAGCCTGCTAATAACTGCCATACCTCTGCCCTCAATGCTTCAGGGACGCCATTCTTCACCAGCGTGGATAGCCCTTTTGGTCGTGCACCAAGGTTATTGTGCCTGTAAAAACAAGAAAATAAACCATTCAGACTCCCTTTACCACTCCTGAACTGCTGCTGCAGTGAAAACGGTATTTGTTAGTTTACATGAAAGCATAGCCTGGGTTGAGAGAAAAATGGTGGGAGTATGAAACGACAGTAGTGCATAAGCTCAGTGATGCCTTTGACTTTTTTTCTTGATCTCATCTTCTTTACTAGTAAGCCATGTTATTCCACCACCAGGCAAAGTATTTTCTTCCTGTTCTTTACTTTAATCATACTATGAACTTATTAATAATAGTTAATGTGTTAGTTATAAATAGGCAACACAGCAACACATTAAAAGAACCAACCAAATCCCCTGAAATCAATGTATGGCAAGTTGGATAATGATGTATGTGGCAGGGAATGGTGTTCAGGAATAGGTACTGAAATGAATCATAGGCCTATCACACCTTGACTATACCCCCTTCTCTGATGTCAGGCTGATTGGGCCAAGTGACAAAAGCAGGCTCGACAGCATAGGAGGCATGACATACATATACTTCAGTTTTGTGCAGCAGCCACATCCTGACCCAAAAGTCCCCTGGGAAGCCCTATCTCTTGATGGCCTTAGAGTTCTCTGTTCCAGCATAAACTTAAATATCAAGGATCTTCCAGATTGAAATGATCTAATATAGGTTCTATAGTAAGAAGAGTTCATTACTGTTTGCACTCCTGGATTCGTCTCCCGGACTTATTACAACTGTAAACCCCTAAAGGAAACAACTAACCCTTTCCTACAATAATCAGAAACTATATAATTCCACCTTGCTAGGGGAGCAAGATATACTTATCAGCCTTACCCATTCCCAGGGGTGTTTAGAATAGGCACAAAGGCAAACATCTTTTGTCCTAATATCAATGATCACATAGTAGGTATGCTACAATGCCATCTGAACAGAAACTGAATTGCACTTCTCAAACTTGTGAATGTAATTCCATTCCTCACCTTTGTCTTGGGATCTAGCTTAAACCTGGAGTTATGGTCTATGCCTTGTTGCTCAGACTTTATCTCTATTTGAATTTGCTGCTCGCTTTTGATCTCTTAGAACTGACCCTGTTGCAACCATCTGGTCTCCAAATCTTGGCAATGTAATCTAGTTCGACCTAACACCCTAGGCTCTGTTTTCAAGTTTAAACCTTAAAAGTACAGAATGTACATGTCTATTTTCTAAAATTGGCCTCCTACCTACTTCTTTAGATTATGCATATTCCTCTACCTCCAGCCCAGACCCTTGTTTGGGCGTATTTCAAAGGAATATATTTCCTTTGAAAATATATTCCATTCTTTCCCCATAATGTCATATCTGGCTATCTTCAAAAAAAAACTATAACATCCATAACTCAAACAAGTTCAAGTAAATTCATCTCATTAATATTATTAACAAACTATCAGATTTATACCCATTCTCCTTTCTTGCAGCTTCTTCTAGCTAAACTTTTGTATTGTTGGGTTAGAGAACCTAAGCTGATAATACTGATGGACTTGAGGCAAAATAAAGTAGAAAAGGTAGAGTTTATACGATTGAACATGCTACCATACCATTAAAGAACATAGTTAATGCTGTTAAGTGACAAAAGTAGGTTTCAAAATAGTATCCAAGTGTTATTTTAAATACATACTATTTTGAAATTTGCTTTTAAACATGCAAAGAAAAAGAATACAGAAGAATATATTCCAAAATATCTGTGTAATAGAATTAAGAGGGAAAATTCCCTTTTATTTTCCTACGCTGTCAGAAACATTTACAGTGATCTTAAATACTTTCATAGGCCGGGTGCGGTGGCTCACGCCTGTAATCCTAGCACTCTAGGAGGCCAAGGATCACTCAAGGTCAGGAGTTCGAAACCAGCCTGAGCAAGAGCGAGACCCTGTCTCTACTAAAAATAGAAACAAATTAATTGGCCAACTAAAAATATATAGAAAAAATTAGCCAGGCATGGTGGCGCATGGCTGTAGTCCCAGCTACTCAGGAGGCTGAGGCAGGAGGATCGCTTGAGCCCAGGAGTTTGAGGTTGCTGTGAGCTAGGCTGATACCATGGCACTCTACCCGGGCAACAGAGTGAGACTCTGTCTCAAAAAAAAAAAAAAACTTTTATAAATATAAGACACAAAAAAGTCATTTCAATTGTTTAAATTTCTCTTATGGATTTAAATTCTAATATAATTTTAGTTAATTTGGAAAAACACCATAATTACATTAGATAAAATGTGTCAAGTAGAAGGAGAATATTAATTATTCTTGAGAAGACTGACACCTGAGTAAACTATTTGATGCCTGGAACTTCATTCCAACTGCCTCTTATTCATTATCCAATTGAGTTTGAGATTGCCAAAGAATATTATGCCACAAGGGAGCCAGGATCAGGCATAAAAGGAACTTTTTGTAATTTAATGTTTGGCTCTGATACACTTTTAAATAGGAAAAACATACATGGCTTAAGGGTAGCTAAATTCCTATACTTTTAATGTATAAAACTGAGTTAATTAAATGTAAAATACTCTGAATTATGAATCCCACAATGTACAATATATAAGGAAAACCCAAAGTAATTGAAGTATATGCTACATGTCATATAGAGATCAATAAGTCATCACTGTATATCTATACCTATTAAAACACCAATAAATTAATCAGAACTCCATGTAAAAGAAACCTGTATTCAACCCCATATAACTCTCTATCATACTCTTACTGCACACATCAAAATTCTCAAGAGTTGTATAATCACTATCACTTACTATCTTTGTTTCTTCCTGTTCCACTCATTCCTCAATTCTCTTCCATATGGCTTCTGTAACTCTCCTTGAAAAGTGTTCACGTAAGTGATTTATGACCTCTCTCCAAGCCACTAGATTCAAGGGACATTTTTAATCCTTTCACTGTTGACCACTCTGTTTCCCTTGGCTTCAGGGATAAAGTTTTACCTAGTTATACCCCTTTACAAACTCCATCATTGATTTTTTTTCCCCTCTATTAACCTCTTAAATGTTCAGAGTTCTCTCTCTCCACTCTTGCCCTCAGTAATCCAACTTTTTCACTCTCTTGTCTGTAGGCAGGATCAACTATGCATATGTATTTTGAGCTCCAGAGGCTCAGAGGCACTTCAAAATCAACATGTCCACGTCTGAACTCATATTCTTCTCCCTAAACCTGGTTGTTTTCCAGAGTATTCCATCCCACTGATTGTTACCACAGTCGATCCAAACTAGAAACCTAGGAGTTATTCTTGACATTAGCATCATCCATTACTAATTCATCACCAAGTCGAATGGATCTTATTTTCCCAATTTCTCCTAAGGCCATGCCCTTCTCTCTATACCAACTGCCACCAGTTTTATCCACCCTAGACCTCTGCAACAGCCTCCTAATATCCACTCATTCTATTACAACATATTTTAACATTGCAGGCAGAATGAAGAGAACAAACAGCTTGATTAAATATTCTGTTGGCTCAAATTATTTTGTAGAATGACTTAAATAATATTTTAAAGTTGGAATATCTATTTCCACACACACATACATGCATAAATATACACACTCCTTAAGGTTAATAGCCAACAGTCCCCAACATTTTCCCATAATGTAATTCTACTCAATTGACATTCAGCTTCTAGCTGACTCTCAGCCACTTGTTTGCCTAGGCATAATAAAAATGTCTTTTCTCGGGGGGCGGAGCAAGATGGCGGACGAATAACACCACCAGACAGAGGGTCTCTGCAAAAAAGACAGATTCTAGCAGAAACTAGAGGAAAGAAGCAAGAAGACAAGCATACAGCGGACAAGGGCCGGAAGGAGGGGTACCTGAGACCCCGGGAGACTCCACAGGAGGAGGCTGCGGAGGAGAACTGGAGGCTGAGACCACCGGAGCAGCCCGGAGACCAGCGGCAAGGGTAGGTGGATCTGCTGTTTCCCCTCCCCTGCATTCGCGACTGCTGGTGGGCTCCCCAGCGGGTGGAGAGACCTGGGGACACCAGCCCAGAGACCGCCGCCAAAATATCAACTAAAGAGGCCCTTCTAAGAGCTGTAAGATGAAAGAAGCAAGTAACATACAAGGGAAAGCCAATTCGAATAACATCGGACTTGTCTAATGAGACTTTACAAGCAAGGAGAGACTGGGGCCCCATTCTCACTCTTTTGAAACAAAACAATGCCCAGCCTAGAATATTATTCCCTGCAAAACTAAGCTTCGTATATGAAGGAGAAATAAAAACATTCTCAGACAAGCAAAGGCTCAGAGAATTCACCAAGACAAGACCAGCCCTACAAGAAGTACTTAAAACAGCGTTATGCACGGAACATCATAAAAATAACCCACGAATATAAAAACAACCAAAACCAAAGATTAAAGGCCAGATATTACAATGGCTCAAGACAGAAATCATAGCAACAACATCCAACCCAAAAGAATGATCAGTAATCTACCTTACCTATCAGTTCTCCTCAATAAATGTGAATGGCTTAAACTCTCCACTCAAGAGACATAGGCTGGCTGAATGGATAAGAAAATACAGGCCAAGTATATGCTGTCTTCAGGAAACACATCTAACCTGCAAGGATGCATATAGACTAAAAATAAAAGGGTGGAGATCAATATTCCAAGCAAATAGAAGCCAAAAGAAGGCTGGTGTGGCAGTTCTAATTTCAGACGATTTAGTTTTAAACAACAAAAGTAGTAAAAGACAAAGAGGGTCATTATATAATGGTGAAGGCACAGTCCAACAAGAAGAGATAACATTTTAAATATATATGCACCAAACTTAGTGCACCCGATTCATAAAGCAAACCTTACTGGAGCTAAGCAAATGGATTAATACAACTCCATAATCGCCGGAGATTCAACACCCACCTGACGGCACGAGACAGATCCTCCAAACAGAAAATTAATAAAGAAATATTGGACTTAAACAAAACTCTAGAACGATTGGGTCTGACAGACATCTACAGAACATTCTACCCAAAATCCACTGAATATACG